AGCGCTTTCACCGCGTGTCTTTGGGCAGCTCCCGTGCACACGGAGCTTGCAGGTGCCTGCACAGAAGAGGGGATCCTGTTCGCCAGCTTTTTTGCCGGGGACACTCTTTGGCTCCCAGGGGCCTTCTCTCCTCACCCTCAGGCTAGAAATGCGGTGTTTCTGTCAACTTTACTACCCTGAGCTGTGGAGCACACGGTTCTGCACCGCCACACGCCCGCAGGGCAAAACCGGAGGGAAAGAGAAAGGCAAGGCAAGGGAACTCGCCCCATGCCCCCACCCTCACCCCCACCCCCGCCACTCCTCCGACCCTGAGGCCCTTCCCCAGGTTCCTGCTGCTCTGGCCAGAGAGAAGGGTCGGGGTCAGGGTCAGGGTTCTCAGGCCCCTGCTGCCACCATCTCTGCCACAGAGGCACAGCTCAGCGACTGAGGCTGGCCTTGGAGCCGGGACAGAGAGGGAAAAGAGAAAACAGGAAAGAAACTGGGGACTCCCCACTCTCCAGCCCCAGGACCCCTCTTCTCAGTCTTCGGTCTAGAAAGAGGGGGTTCTCCTAGGCGTCTGCTGTGGGGGCCGGAGATAAGGAGGGGAGCCGGCATGCTCGCCGCCCGCTCGCCCGCCTGCCGGGGGTCTCTCCTCCCTCTGACCCACCTGCTCCCTGCTGCCCACTGGGGGGTCTCGGGGCCCCGGCTGAGCCAGTGCAGAGCCCCTCGCTGTCCTTGTAGTGGGTTTGCTCCCACTTGGCAGGCCCCAAAAGCCTTTTCATTCTATTTTAACGTTCTCCTAAGGTTCCCCCGGGTCTGGGCTGAAACCAGCATTGTCAAGACAGGAAGCAGGCCCAGCAGGGCCCGGCCAGCAGGCTCCGTGGGGCCTGCAGCCAGGACTGCGTGTCCTCTGGGGGGGCCTCCGCCTGTCCTCGGCCAGCGGCTCCCCCAGCCCCGGGGCAGAGCCGTGGCCTTACCAGGTGCCACAGGGTCCCCCGGGCCTCCTAGGAGCCTCTGCCACTCAGTGAGATGGCGCAGGCAGGAGATGGCAGCTCGGGGCGCTTTCCCCGCCCCCCAGGGGCTCAGACCCTGGGTGCCTGCGACCCTCGCTTTCAGAACACGCGGGCAGGAAGTTGCCTTCTATCTCCATTCACCTTCTCTGGGCCTTCTGTCTCTTTTCTCACGCTCCCAACGGAATTCGCTTAAAAGTAGTGAGATCCAAATGGAGGAAACCAAAAGTGCTCCACCGGGCCAGGCCGTGAGGGGGCAGCAGGCCGGCCGGCCGGCCCTTGGCCCTGGGTGCCTGGGGTGCCCCCAGCGATGGCAGCACGCGTGGCGCTTGCCATCAAGGCTCTCAAGCGTTGAGGACAGCGACCGGCGCCACGTCTCCGCCTCGTGAGCACGCTTCACCCGCACAGCACCCTCAGGGTGACCCCACTGTTACACTCTTTTTATAAATAGGGAAACTGAGGCCCAGCGTGGGTCAGTCCCTTGCCCATGTCATCCAGCCAAAAGGACACAGCAGGAAGCCCAGCCTCACGCCTGACTCTTCGGCTCAAGGAATTAGCCTCGACCCGCCGTGCTTTAGGAGTGAGACCCCCAGTTTCTGTTCTTATCTCTGTTAAAATGCCTGTGATGCCATTTTAGGACTGTGTTTGAGTCCATATTCCTTTTCAAGGTGGGGTCCTTCGAGGTCAGAGGTCACAGGTCACCCTTGGCTTCCCCAGGACCTGTCCAACAGCTTCTGGAGCAGAGCAGGCCTTCAGAGTTTGTCGAATGACTAATAAATGGATAGATGGCACTCCGGATCTATCCAGCCTTTATATTTGGATCATGGAGGTCCTGTGAGAATTTAATGAGGAAAGGAATTATCTCATAATGTTCGTAGGCTGGCTGGAGGCAGCCCTGGAATTTTCCGATGAACCAGGTCACTCGGAGAGCCTGGGCCACAGGCAGATGGCATGCTCCAACCAGACAGAGCTGAGGGCGTGGCCCCTTGAACAGATTCTGAAATTGCAGCTATTTCTGAGATCGGCCACACACAGAGTTGCCGGATTTAGCAAATAAAAATACAAGACACCCAGTTAAACCTGAATGTCAGATCCCTTTTTAGGAAAAGTACACATTTTTACTATAATTGTGTCCAGTGCGGTATTGGGAATATACTTACACTAAAGAAATCATTGTGTTGTTCTTTATCTGAAATTCAGATTTAACTGGGTATCCTGCTTTTTCTCTGTAGATGTTATCTACGGGTGTATCTGAGAATCCTCGCCAGCTGCCTCCCACCTCAGGGTCATCTGCAACGGACTGCCACCTTCTTAGTATCTGGCAAGGACGTCTGAGCGCTGGGTTTGACCTTGGCCCTCAGTCCCCAGGGAGCGGGGCTCAGAGAGGGAAGCAGGGCTCCAGTGGGGCCCGAACCCCAATCTCCTGGCCCCAAGGAGGCAGGGGAACAATACGACGCACAGATTGAACGCTACAATCCACAGCCCAGGAGCACAGGTTCTACTGTAGCTGTGGCCAGGCTGCCGCGGCACCAGGGAGGGCCCCGTGGATGTGGACGGCCTCAGGAGGGCAGGGCGGACACCAGGGCATGGCCCGCAAGCCCGCCTCCCAGAGCCTCCGCCACAAAAGCCCATTCTCTCTGGCCTCCCCTCCTCTAGGGGCGGTCATTATTCAGGAAAGTTCCTGTGCCGCGTCTGGTTACTGCGCTTTGAAGATTTCCTTTTGAAAGGCTTTTCTGTCCCTTTCCTAGGACAGGCCCCACTTTGGGGAGATTATGTAACCTCTGTCTCCTCAGCAGGAACAGATGGGGTCCAGGAGGCCACCTCCTTCCTCAGAGCAGCTCTGCGGGGGGGCAGGGGCAGGGTGGGGACCATGTAGCCCTCCTGCGCCGCTGGGCCCTCCAGGAACCCTTTCACACAGCGCCCGGCCCCCATGGTGACCCCGACACTGAGGAACATGACCCTGCACGCTGGGGCCCCATCCTGGCTTTGGGGAGCAGCCGGTCCCGCTGGGGTGACCCTAACCATCTTGTGTGATGTACCCCAGTGTTCAAAGCCTTGTTCTTTAGGTTATAAAGTCTTAAAAAGTACCAGAAGGAACAGACAGTCATATGCCCACTGACCAGAATAGATGTCTTTTTAAAAAAATATTTCATGTTTGCTCATCTTTTCCTATAATAAACAATTACAAAGTCTCCTTTGTCCCCCACGCCCCATTTCTCAAGGGTGGCTGCTATCGTGAATCTGGCTTATATATTCACAATCCGTGGTTATGCTTTTACTTATGGATGTGTGGGTCCATGCGTAATGTGCAGCCTTTTTCTGTAGGCGTGTTTTTACTGTCAGGAATGGTAGCTGAGTTTATTTTGTGACTTGCCTTTTCCCCCAGAAAGGCTTTTTCACGTAGTGAAACAGCCGCCAGTTGTGAGGCGGTTGAGGTTCATTTCCCCACTTTCAAATGAGGAAGCTGAGCCTCAGAGAGGTTAAGAAGTGGCCTTAGACCACAGAGGGAGGACACTCTGGCCCTGGGGCCAACTCTCACTCTGCCCCCGAGATTCTCGGCTGATGGTCCTTGAGTTCGTTTAATTCACCAAACAGGGTTTGAGTATCTGTGCTCTTCTGGTCACTGGGGATTCCGCCTTCCTGGAAGTTGTGGTCAGGAAGCTCAGCCTTTATAGATGACCCTGACCTTGACCTTTGGCCATGGGTCCACTGTGTCCTGTTGTGGCCTCTTCAACAAGCCAACAGATGTTCTTCTGATCGTGACAGAATATGAAGGGCCGGTGTGGCCCCCGCGGCCCCCACGCCCGACCCCTCCCGTGCCGTGCTGATTGAGTCTAATGCAGCCGCAGGAAGCTTGTCGTCTTGCTCTGCGTCTCTTCTCTGCGTGGCAGCCTTTCCAGGGTTTGACATTGGGGGCTGTGCCCCCCAAATCTGCCCCGTTCTCAAGGGTCAGGGACTACACCTGCCCCCTGGTGTGACAATGCCCAGTTGTCACCTGGACATCTCCAAAAGTGGCCTAAAAGTAGACGGGGCCAGCGGAAGGGCCATCCTGAGGGACCTTCCAGGTGTTTCTCTTGCAACCTGTTTCCGAGGTGGCTTCCGCCTTGGTTCTCTCGTTCTGACCATGAGTCCATTCCTGATCACCGATTCCCAGTGTCCGATGACGGCGCCGAGGCTGACCTTCTGCAGCAGAAGGGGTGTGGGGGGCAGACGCGCTCTCCCATGGAGCCGGGCCTTGTTGTCTGGCAGCTCTGGGTGCTCACGCCATGGGCTCGGGTTTCTGCGCCCGTGAGTCTGCCCAATAACTAACAATGCGTGTGCAAGTGTGTGCGAGCACCCACATGTAGGTGCAAGCTGTTTGTCCATGCATTATCTACAACAGGAAGAAACCAAAATTCCTAAATCCCCAGGTCTAGGGGAATAGTTAGAGTATAGCTTGTATTTATGAAAGAATATTATACAACTAGGAGAATGGCATTTTGATGCACTTTTTACACAGGAATATAAACCCACATCTTTAAATGTATTCTTTTTCTCTCACACACACGCAGATAAGAAATTCAGAAGAAAGATGTTAGCAGCGATTATCCCAAAGTGGTGGGATTATGATCCTCATTTTTTTACTTTATCTTCTTTTATATTTTCTCAATGTTCTAAGCCGAGCATGTATTATTACTCAGAGTCTGAAGAGAGCCCGGGCATTTTACGGCCTCGCTGCCTTGGAGGGGCCGGGCCTGCAGGGCGCTGCTGACCAGCTGTCTGGCAGAGGACCGGTGAGCTGCTCGGGCCTCGACACTTCCCTCTGCAAGAGAGAAGCGTCTGCCTCCAAAGGGTCTCTGAATACTAACTTTTAAAGAGTAAAATATGCACTGTCAATTATACAGGCAAAAGCTAAGCCCTGTTAGACACTGTTTCTTTGCATGGAGTGGCTTGGCCAGGCCCCTGTCCCTGTGGGGGGCACTTCCTCCAAAGCCCAGTGTCCCGGTTAACTCCCCCTCTCCTTCTTCCCAGCTGCCCATGATGGGAGGAGCCTTCATGGACTCGCCCAATGAGGACTTCGGCGCCGAGTACTCCCTCTTCAACTCCTCCACCAACATCCACGCGGCCTCCAGCGGCCAGGGCCAGCCGGAGGAGCCTCCGCGGTCCTCCAACGATGCCGTCTTGCTCTGGATTGCCATCATAGCGACGCTGGGGAACATTGTGGTGGTGGGGGTGGTGTACGCCTTCACCTTCTGAGGGACAGCTGGCCCCGCCGGGGCGCGGCAGGCGAGGCTCCATACAGAGCCCGTCGCCGCGGGCCTCTGGCTGTGCCCACGTTCCCGAACCAAGAGTTCCGACCGCACGCCCGGCCTCTCCAGGGGCAGTGAGCACACATCTGGAATTTCCCCAAGCAGCCGCGATTTTAATGTTTCACACCGTGGCCCAGATGATCCAGAAAACGTGGGACCGTGAGCTCCCAGCGCCCATAGCCATGGCAGGCAAGGCCTTTGTGGAGCAGCGTGGGGAAGTCTTTAAACTGCTTCCCAAGAACAAGAAACCCCAGGGGACAGCCAGTTAGGTTCAAAATGGAGACATAGTTGGGCGATCGCTTGCTGGCGGTAAATAATCACTTAGGAGTCTCGTTTTCATGCAGACGCATCATGCCCAGGATGTGGGGTGCAGGGCAGGAGCCCCCTCAGAACTTGAGCATTCCACCCCAACCTTGGCCCCCGGGAATGTTGGTGGTGGTCACCGAAGGGCTATCGAACATTCCTCATTCAGCTTGCAAGTGGCACCTCTGTTGCCAGAAGCCTGGCGCCTTCTGAGACCCAAACGCATCAGGAAACCCAAGGACGGGGAGATGAGCGGCGACGCGGCGGATTTCTGGGTGGCGCTTTCCCTTCTTCTTAACAAGCAGAGAAGCCGCCTCTAACAACGAGATCCGTCCGTTAGCTCTTCCGGCCCCCGACGTGAGGACTCTCTTCGTCCCCTGAGAAATCAGAGATGAATAAGGCTCTGTCCGCCGGTCATTGGGTGGACCCGTGGGAGGGGGTGCGGTTGGCCTGTGGTCACCAGCCTCGGTCGTGGCGGGGCCCGGTCAGGAGGCGCGTTTCCTGGCTCCACTCCGGCCCTCTCTCGGCCCGCTCTCGAGCCATGTTTTCCCACCTCAGCTGCCCTCAGGGGCAGTAGCCAGAGGGTCCTGAACTGTGTGCAAAGTGGGTGGGGCACTATTGTCAGACCTCCACACTATAAACTCAGTTTGGTTACGCGTGTGGTCTGTCACAGGTGTGCATGTACCTGCCCAAGTCCGTTCCCAACATTCTTAGAAGTCAGTGGCTGGGGCCTGGCAGACAGGGAGCCCCCCACCCCGTGACAACGGGAGCGTGATGGGACATGCCGGGGGGCAGTGTGGGAAAGGGCTCATTTCTCCTCTGACTTTAGGAAAGGTCACTGCGCAGGACCCCCTTCCGGAGGCAGCCGCCCTGTGCGACAAAGCTGGAGCAGGGGACTCCCTCCCCTACAGGCCGGGCGGCTGTCTCCTCGCTTTCCCTCTGCGCTGTACCAAACAACATAAATGGCACGGGCTCCCCCTCTGAAGTCGAGAAGCCCTTAGCGCGCGTGGGCACAGCTGTACAAAGGCTGCGTTGGCCACCGTGGTCTCGGGAGAGGTGAGTGCTCTGCATGGCTAGCAAGGGGGCATCGTCACTGCCCAGAGGCAGCCCCTCGCCTCGGGGAGTTGGCCCTGAGCTGCCTTGATAACAGGGTTACCAGCCGCAGCTCCAGACAGCTCCAGCAGATGGCCCCCGGCGTTTATTGGTCACATCTGTCACTGCAGCCACACAGCCACCACGGATGCTTCAGCTCAAGAGGAGGTCAAGAGTGTGGAGGGCTGACGTGACATTGCAGAGAAGGAGAAGGGACATGGGGCCTCCTGCCTGGACTGCTCTGGAATCACCGGAGGGCCCTGCTCTCTGCAGGACCGGCCTGGAGCCTGGGCTGGCTGGTTGGCCATTGTGCGCCCGTGGTCCCAGCACACTCCGCTCAGCTAACCCCCGTGCCTGCCCGCGAGCAAGGTCTTTCTTGGACAGAGAGCCCAAGGAGGGAGGTCAGAGCCAGGCTGGCGAGACAAGGCAATGCATGGAGGCCACTCTGGCCCGCGTCCCTGGCTCTTCACCTTCTGACACCCGCAGCCCTGTACGATGCAGGTGGCAGCTGCCTGCTCTCCAGGAGGCCTGTGGAGGTGGCATGGGAGAGGGAGTTCTGTGGGAAGAGGAGAGCGGATGGGGGGCTCCAGCCTCCCAGAGCCCGCGGGGCCGGCGTCCCCTGGGCACTGCGGTACCCTTCGTGAAGGTTGTCTTCCCCTGACAGGGCTGCCACTGTCTCTCTTCAGTGTCAAGGCCATGGCGCGTCAGGAGCCTGAGGGATCCTCTTGTCCAAACTTGGCACCACACAGGTGACAGCGACTTGCTTGGGGTCATTCCATCTCAACCTCCTATAGTTTCATTATTGATTTTTTCTCACCATCACTCAGATAACCATGAGGATAGATGTGTGTGATAAATCTCTAGCCAGAGTGTTACACGCTGTCCCTCCTGTCTGAGGTGGGGCTTCGTCTCGAATCTTAGGTAGAGGACAGAAAGATTGCAACACCATCGTTTGAGACTTGTGCCCAGGCTCCATGCCAGACAGACGGGCCCGTATTTAGCGCCTGCAGTCCCCTTACAGCAGCCTTGCTCCAGCCCACGGATAAGGAACCAGAAGCTCAGCGCAGTGGAGCAACTTGCCTAAGGCTGCACAGCGTGAAGGGGGTGATGAGCTGGAATTTGAGCCTGGACCATCTAGCTCCAAAGCTGGGCGCTTTCGGGAGCACCAGGCTGCCTTCAGCGACTGGGTGGCACCTCCAGGCCACATTTAAACCAGTCCCTGAGTCTACAGAGGTCCTCTTCCAAGGTCCCACCTCGTGGTGTGGCCTGGGCCAGCTCCGGCTGTGCTTGGAAAGGGGCACGCCCCTCCCCCCGCCCGACGCGCTCTGTCCCCCTGGGCTGCGGGTGGTGAGCTCTGCAGCCTGCCCGTCTCTTTAAAGTTGAGCACAGTTCTCTTTGCATGGCCAGGGAAGCCCCCAGGGACCAGCTTTCTGAGGACGCAAGCAGAGGGGAGCCCCACAGGGGGGCCCGAAGGAGTGAGGTGCGTGCAGCTGAAATTGCTGAGAAGGATTGTGGGACAGTCCATGCTGTGGGTGCCAGCTCCAGCCAGGGCTCAGGCTTCCTGCTGAACCCCAGAGCTCCCCTGAGCGGGCGGTGGGGGTAGGTGCTCCTCTCGGACCCTAGGTAGCCTGGGCTCCCCTTCTGGCTTCTCCTGGGTGAAGTGGCCCCAGAGCCCACCTTGACTTGAGGAACCGGTGCTGAGAAGGAACAGCTGGACCCTCGCATGGCTGCTTCTCCGAGAAGGGGTCCTCCATTTTTCTGGAATGTTCTCTGGGCACACTTTGACTCCCTTTTTCTTTAGCAAGCTGTGCCCCACACTGATGTGTGTTTGCGTGAGGGACACTTTTGCTGACCAGAGCAACACCTGCTTACCGAGGTCAGGTCCTGTCCCTGAGTTTGGTGGAGAGGCCGGGGGACCCTTTAGCCTGGTGTGTCCTAAGGGGGTGCCACCTCCTGCTGGGGCCTGGGCAAGGTGGCCGCGCTGCCAGCTTCTGCTCAGTCACGGCTGCCCCTCCCCTCTTCCATGAGATCAAGGTCAAGAAGCAAATGAGGCTCCCCAACCCTGTCTGCCCCCCAGAGAAAAACAAGTACTTCCCCTTTCAGGCCTCCTCCAGGACCCGGGGAGGGCCAGCTGGCGGCACCCGGCGGCAGCCGGGACCGGCCGTCTCCCAGCCCTTCCGAGTGGAAGGCTTGGACGCCCGCCAGACCGCCAGCATATGCCGGACTCCCTCCCTGGAGACTGGAGAGGCCCGCCGTCGTCACCCTGACGCCCGCCACCCGCCGGGCAAGCGGGACCCTCCTCCCTCGTTCGTGGTGATACCAGTAATAGTCATTCTCCGCGCCGGCCGTCGTTCCTTCCGCACCTTCCGCGGGCCGTGCGTGTCACTGACTTCCCAGATCGCCCCCCAGGGGCAGGAGTGAGGGCGCGGAGAGACGCCCATTTATTACTATTGCTCTGCTTCTCTGCTGAGAAACTGGCCAGGCTCTGTGCCTGGGGACCCACAGCTGAGGAGCTGCGACTGGGCTCCCCTCCGTCAGCTGTGCAGGCTGGGTGGTCACCCAGCCTCCCCCTGCGCCCACCCCTCCCTGATGAGCCCTCTGGACTGGTCTGTCGCAGGAGGGGCCTCTGAGGCTGGGGCTCTTTTGATCCTGGGAAGGGCTGGGTAGCAGTGCCCATGTGTGTATCAGTCCCAGAGCTGTTAGTGGCCTCGGAGGCTTCTAGTCAGGGCCTTTCTGTCTGCGGGGAGGGCAGCTGGGGCCACACAGTAAATTAGTGGAAAGCCAACAAAGCTCCGGACGCCTGGCCCAGGGCGCCACCTCTCAGCATGCTGGGCATTCAACAGGGAGCGAGGGGTGACCCTGGGTTACCAGCCATCCCCTGGTCCCTTTGCCTTGTCCCAGGCAGAGGCCCTTTGTCCCCAGAGCAAGTGGGCTGGGCTGCTGGGACGGACCCCCACAGAGTGTTGCTCTGGGGACAGACAGAACAGTGGGAGCCAGGCGCCCCGCGTTCGCCCCGCCCACTCTCTGGGCCCCGCCCACTCTCTGGGCCCCACCCACCCCACCAGACCCTGACCTGGGTCATTCAGTGGGAAGGACGGAGGAGAGGACGGGTGAACTGAGCCCTGAGAGCCCAGAGGGACAGAGTCTGTAATCTCCATGCAGAAAAAGAAGCCGCTCTGAGAAACCCAGGGAACCAGAATTAAGCAGAGGCCAGGTGGTCCCAACGAGGCAATTCTGAGATGAGACTTTCAGCATTTCCTTTCCCGTTCGGGGCTGGGGCCAAGGACAGGGTCGGGTGGCAGGGGGCAAAGCAAAGCAAACCCTAGTGATTGAAGAGAGGAAGGATTGTCCCAGAGTGAGGAGACGCAGCCGCCAGAATGCTCGAAGGTATATAAAATTCACTACATAAATTTTGAAATGTAAGTCTGATCAAGATGCAGAATAAAGGCAGAGGCAGCCCTGGGACAGGCGGGACAGGGGGCCAGTGTTCTGGGATGGGCTGTGCCCAGACCTCTCCCTCTCCAGGGGGCATCGGACCCTCGTTCCCACCGAGCCCCCTCCGTTGTCTGAGCAGCAAGCGGTGGGCCCGTGTCGGTCGGATTAGCTGTCTTTTCTCCCGCCTTGCTATGGGAGAGTCACCGCACGTCCCGTACAGAACGTCGACCCTACAAGCCAGGTGGTCCTGACCAGGGCGCGGTACCTGGCAGGTGTGGGGCTTCCAGCCTTTCACGCGCACGGAAACTGCGTCTCCAAGGGGCCTGGGAGGGTTGCAGGTCAGGCTGCCAGCAGGAGAGTGCCCAGGGCATCTGTCTACAAAATTACTGGGCCACTGCTGCTCAACTGGGGACGATTTTGTCCCCCCGGGGCCCACTGGCAATGTCTGGAGAGTTGTGGTTTTCACAACTTGCTGGGGTCAGTGCGGGGTCACACAGTTCTACTGGCCTCTAGTGAACCGAAGCCAGCCAGCGATCCTCAAAACAGCCCCCAGGACAGAGAATTCTCCGTGAAACGCCCTCAGAGCCAAGGTCGGGGAACCCAGCCCTAGGCCACACCATCTCTGATTCCAAAACAATGGCATTTCCCAAAGGCCTGCTGTCCCCTGTTTGTGAGTCACTGAAAACGTCAGAACTCCACAGAGCAAAGCAGCCGCCACGACTGCTGCCTCGCGCCCCAACAGTTCGGGCAGAGGACAGCGATCTGGAACCCGGACGTCGTCGAAATGCCCCTGACTCGCCATTTCCCTGTGACTCTTCATTCCTACCATCTTTGACTTTCATGGGGAGTCTCAGCCTGGTTGGAAAAAACCTTACAAAGCGGGTGGTGGAACTGAACCCATCCCGTGTGCCCCAACCCAGTAACTGTGCATCTGTGGGGCCTTGAGGGGCCTGGGCCTCCCACCAAAGCCCTTGTGAAGGACACCGTGGGGAAAAGCCAGGGAGGGGCAGGAGTGGGGGCCGCTAGACAGCCCTTGAGCAAATCCTCGTCCCTCCGGTTTCTGACCCTTGCCCCGTGCCCCGCCCTACTTCCCCCACTGAACGCTTACTAACATTCTTTCTACTATCTGAAGTTTTACAGAAAACTTATTCTTGTAACTAACCACCCCTCAATACCAGCTCTTCTCAGAGAATCAGAAATGTTCCTGTGTTTTACTAACGTTTTCATAATCAACTTGTAAGTCGTTTACTGAATAAAAGAGTATTTTAACTATTCTCCCAGCTTTGCTACTCAAACCCTCTAGTTTGGATGAGATCGCCACCTTTTGCTACAGCAGAAAGGCTATTTCTTAATGTAGGGTTTCGATGTGCTCTTCTGATGACAAATATCTAACTTTGGTGGATGTGAAAATGTGGCTGTGGAATCGTGGGTCTTTGACTGGTAGCTGTTGTGGTCCTTTTCTATTATGATAATTAAAAGAAAAGAAAGCGTCCGCGTCCCGCCTGTGCTTTCTCTCCAGGAGACTGTCCACGCGTCTCTGCGAGGCTCAGCTCAGCATCCCCAG